TCGATGACCACAGCCAAAATCAGGAAGGTGTGTGTTGTTCGTACTCTCTTGTTTGGTTTAGGTTAAGGGGTTTGGTCTAAAACCCTAAGTGAACTGCCAATGGTTCATCGAAGTGGTGATAGGCTAGGATGCCGGCTTTTCGTCCCTTCATTTGGGTGGGAAACACCCTGCCACGAGGTAGTGAGTACAGCATCCTCAGCAGAGGCTATTTCAGCAACTTGGTTGTGTAGGAACATTTCGTACCCTATATGATCCGAGGCGGATGCCCCTGCAAACCTGTTACATATAACAGTACCCCTATAGAAATGCTTTCATANTTCATACGATTAGCGATCCAGAAGACTGCGTAGAATACCGCTAAACAATCAATACAGCGTTTTTTAGAAAGACGATTGCCACATTCACCGGTTCAGTTAGGTTCCGGATGTAAGTGCGAATGAGCAGTTAATGAACACATTGCTATAAAATTAAGACAACCAACCGAAGAATAGCAAAGAAATAGAAAATACAGGGTAAGTCAGTGACTTACTTTGATCTTCTGCGAACTGTGCAACCACTGAGACATAGATTTGACAATCAATGCAAATGGAAACCACAAATTGGCAAACAGATGCGTGAGGATGTGTTGAGCACAATGGGTATCCGCGAGCACCAGAATAAGACCCCGAACGAGAGCATGATGTAGGGGGATAGGGAAAATGACAGTTTGGCGAGCAGTGGAGTGGGCTTTGGTTGCATCCTGGTTCGCATGTAACGTTGCACAACGTGCAGTCAGGGTGTCCGAATCAAAAGCGAACTAAAAGAAAGAGGGAGGAAGAAAAAACGAGAATTTCAATTCTTGGGAACAAGAAACTAGACTGGTTTCTTTTTAAGACAACTCCGTGCCTATGACTGTTGATCAAAATAGCGGAATTTGAGAGTCTTGTTCATGAATTATTGATGATAAATTTATAGACAAAATATTTGAGCTTAAAACTCACATAGGTCTACAAAAACAGCTGTTATTACCAAATCCAACATCAGCGGTAACTGCCCAGTTCAAAATTGAATGGTTCTCTCTGCATAACTGTACCTGTGAGGTAACTCAGTGCCACATGTTTCGACTGCATGTTAGCAGGTCATTAATGTAACAACGTTTGTACCGTTAAAGTCACTAATTATCAGAATTTCTATTCTCCGTACGGAATTCCGCACAAAAACCTCAGAAATGGTAGGAGCTGGTAGCCAGTATAATGAACGCAGACGTAAGGATTAATCAGGTATGAGTGAGAACCAGATAAAAGTCCCTATAGACCTCATTTGCAGAGAACAAATGTCTCGGCCGGCGAGAGAAACAGAAATAGCGAAAGAGGATGCAAGAAAAAAGAAATCGGAAGGGAGCAAAATCTGGCGTCTAATTATGGCATATCGCAAATTCAGACATGGTCCCATGAGTACTTCCTGGCATTTTTACATATGGCACTAAGCAATCAGATTCATACACCAAAGAGCTTGCGAGAAAACAACCGGATACGAGACCAGATCATCATCATCAACGCAAATCCTCACCTTCACATAGTTCCTGATCAATTCATGTCGCGGTAAATCTGACTGCATTTTGCCAACGCACAGATCCCTCGAATCGAAATAATAACTGGATGAGGTTGCTCGTGTGACCGGGCACGCGGCGTTCAGTTCCGAGATGAGAACAGCCATTGTTCTAGTGGTGGAGCACAATAAAAATGCGCAAACGGTTTTCATCAAACAACTTAGTGGGCTGAAGTGCAAACAGGATAACCCTCACAGTTACGAGGTCGTAAGATATTGTAATCAAAAAGGTGATTTGGATTGAGGAAGTGTCAAACGGAAAGTATGATCATATGTTGGACAGAAATCGAGTGCAAAAGGAAAGTACGACAAAATATTTCGAAAAACAGTATTCCTCATTGCTTTTAAACATTTAAAATATTGCTCAATTTATCTGTTTGAGTTTGATGTTTTTTGACGACAATTCAATGCACAACGATGAATATACTCACGAAAACCGTTTGTCTGGTAAATACTCTGTTGACATTAAAATAAGGGTGAAATGCCTACTGAAGTTGTGAAACTTAACAAATTAGGGAAATAGCTGCGCTCCGAATAAGTAGCTTCTACAGGCAACGAATAACGCTTCAAGATTTATTAAACCACCCGTGTTGCGACGCCATCAACTAACACGAACTTCATTTATCAGAGTATTTTTCACTTGGTGAATGATAACATAGATTGGCTAAGTTCCAGCTAGTACAAGACAATGATTGTCTGTGACCATTGACAAGCATCACCACTGGAAGTGGAGTGGGGGCGGATAAGTGTGTCAGGAGAGATAAAACCTGAGCGAAACAATAATAACGTGGTTAAAGATCAGGACTAAACGAAGAGAAAGGAACTAATGCTACGTTGAACATGTGGTCAAAGTCCATCAGGTTTTACTGACTGGGGAAATAGGTTTTTCATGTACTTCATTCACGTACTATTTATTTGTCTACCATGCATGGGTTCATTTTGTCAAACACAGCAATACCAAGATGAATAAGTACAAACCAGCGAGTGATAAACTTAGACAAGTTCATTTAGAGATGAAAGAGAACACCTGAAGTCCGTTTACGCGCCAAATGGAATGACAGCATATGACGCCTGCTGGTTTACACAATATGTGATTTGAGAGACTTCTAAACCAGGGTATGGTATACTGACCATTATAAAACAATGATGTGCGCAGACGTTACAACGTCAATATGGATCCTCGATCTGCAATCGCGTAAAACAAAGACCAACAGTGAGGCCCTAGCAGTTATACAAAACGATGTAATGAAATGAGTAATCTAGTTACTGAAAACAGCTTCACTCTCTCGCCACGAACTGTTTATCTGTGTTAGAACAGCGTTTTCACTTTTCTGACACCCCAAATTGTCCAACTAGGAGGATCATGTGGGATAAGGATGTTAGTTAACTTTTCACTCCAATCAACAAGGATCCTGAAGCAAGTCTCACACAAGAGGTGATAATATGATATGTGGTTATGTAAAAGACGATAAATGAGAGATACGGTGTACTGAATTCGGAGTAACCAGTAGATAGAGGGGAGAGAAAATAAATCTGAGGATCAGAAGTCTGTGTAAGGCCCGGAATTGGATCAAATTGACGGTGCACCGAATGTATTAGGTATACAATATAGCAAGTATGACCTAGCGATGGCACTGGTGTACAAACTTTAGGTAACAATCAAAAATATGCGGATAAAATCCACAAATTAAGACCGCACAGGTAAAGTGTTCATTGGATGTGTGTGAAGTAAATATCAGATACAGCAGAAAATTAATAATAAACTGACAGAACGTTCTTATACAAAATTTTCTAAAAAGAAAGAAAACTCCCGCCAGTGGGGCTCTGATTTCCAGCTCTATGTAGTATTTATGAGTCTTACGAACAGTGCAAACGCCAGGTTAGGAGCTAAATCAGTAACCAGCATTGGTATGCAAATCTGCTTATACGGAATTTTACGCATAGTCTGATCAGAAACGCGCAGTGACACGCGTGAGCGAAAGCAGTTATCTGTACCTTTCCTCGAATGACACTTTCGGAAAATTCTGTTTTAGGACTTTTTTCATTATGCGTTTTGATCTATGCGAAGCTGGTCCATGAAAAGTAGTTCCGCGTACTCGAATCCAAAAGCTCTTGCATGACTGGATGCATCGATGACTAACAGTGTTGAAGTGGAACCACTAATCTGATCACCACTGATCACATCCTGCAAATATACTTTATTTTCCTTCGTTGACAGCCATAGATTAAAACCATGACATACGACGAGCTTAGATCAATTAAAGAGGAGAAAAGCACCGAAAAGAACGAATCGAACTTTGGTCGTCAACAGAAACTAGACACACCCGATTGTGGTACGTAAAATCTCGTTTGGTGAATTAGTCGTATCCGCAGAGCGTCCAAAATCCATCCATTTGGGAGCCAATGCATTCTCCACGGTAGCATCGTGTGCGCTTGCAGTCAAAGACCAACGATGACTAGCGGTCGCGCTGATAATAATCAACTCCATAAATTGGTTGAACAGAGGTGGCAGAAAATGAATCAGCGCGGAAAGATCGATCACCCATAGGCCCTTGACAGCACTGCAGAGATGACGACCACAATCACTGAATGTAGAACCAGCCGGAACTGAGGGTCGGGGACGCTCAGAGGCGGGACATTGACCCTCGATTGGATCGTCACGAAATGTGACCCGATTAGTCTGTGAACCGAGACAAAGTGGACGACAATACGTGGATAACGCCCCGTACGATGAACGAAGAGGGATGAAATCAGTCACACTTTAATGCTCTCCTGTAGGACAGGAGGTAGCTCATTATTAAACCATAATCCACACGATGGATAACGGGATGGTGTGGCGAAGGAAGCAAAACTAAGGTAAAATGATTGTAAACACGAATTGACCCCACGCCAAAGAACAGCGAAGGAGTTTAGGTCTTTCATGTTTTTTGTGATAAAACGCGCAGCCAGTCATGAGTTAGTTAAACAAAAAAACGCACAGGTGTTTTTCGCTCCAAACCACCTAGTGAACGTCTTTTGATGACTCCTTGATAAACACCTGTTAAAGAAGCTGAATACTTGGTTTCCGGTTAAAGTCACTCAACCCATTCGGTTTCAATCTGGGTTGCCAAATTAGTACAAATAGTTTTTTTTGCAAAACTCAGCATGGGAATTCAGGACAAGAAACGAACATTAGGCAAACATTGAGAACCCTTATCGAAGCGTAAGTTTACAATTAAAAACAAAATTCGGGAAATTAATCTGAAAAAGAAACGATTCACAAGAAGGTTCGTTTGAAAGTCATCTAAGGTCAAGGAAGTCATGTACATATCGGATCGATCAGGGAAATTCCCATATCAGTAGAGAATTCCTTTGTCTCTGGCTAATTGGATATCAAGCTACAGTGGAAATTATATGCAGGAGGAAAGTTGCGAGCTGAAAATATAAAAAGTTGAAGAAAAACTGAATAAGGGGAAAAAATGAGGTTTGTAGCAGTGAAGAAAACGGTTTGAATAACACACACTACGTACCTTTGTCTTTAGGCCTCCCGCGGTTGAACCTGGTGTGGGAAGGTGTAGCACGCGTCCCGCAAGTTCCGAACACGCACGGAAAAAGCGTGCAAGAACTGGTGCATTGGTGTAAATGGATGAAAGTGAGTCCAGTTGAACAGTGAATAGCGGTTTGCCGCCTTCAAGCCAAGAAGCACTTCCATCGCCAGCTGCATTGATGGATAGCAAGGCTGAGGATGAGCCACGATTCTGTTTACACCATCGATACGGAAGGAAAAGACAAAAGGGGATGAGATGAACAATCAAAACGGAACAGATTTCATATGGTTTTATCACAGGTGAGTTCGTCGAAAAATGTGATTTGCGCGCGCCCTTCGATTGGCTACGCTACGTTTGTGTTCACTGTTGCATTGGAATTTATTACTTGGTTTATGTCATGTTCTACGACGTTCGTACCCCAGGGGATTATTACTACGTCTAAAAGATACTTATTATTCTTCTGTGTTATCCAAATCACATGGTTCTGCCCTTACTGGATTTTCTGCACGGAGCAAGAAACTAAAGCGTGCCGGGTGGCAGACTGCACTCGCAAACATTCCTCCTGTGAAGATGACGGTTCCGTCATTAATCAGTTCCAACATTCGCTCACTGTTTAGCAAACAGGCTGAACTCACGGATCTATTAACACATCGCGTGCACACAAACACGAGTGCGATATGCATACACGAATCGTGGCTCAACGAAAACATAAAAGATTCGCTGGTCAACATACCTGGTTTTGCCAGTTTTCGACAAGACAGAGAAAGAAGCAAAAAGAACTCCGGAGGCGGAGTAATAATCTACATTAACTCCAGTTGGTACAGCAAGTTCGAAACGTTGTTTGTTTTCTCTTCTTATGATATTGACTGCCTTACTGTTTCATGTCGACCTAGGTCTTCCCCCTATCGGAGCACATTCATTACAGATCTATACATTGCCCCTTCTTGCTCACAAAATGAAATTAGTTCTTTCTACGATGCATTTATTCCTTTCATTGCTCCCTTAGTGGACGATAATTTAATCTTAACTGTCAGTGATTTTAATCACGGATTAACCCAACATTTCCTTTCTTTCGGTCTATCCGATCTCTTTGTAACGCCCACCAGAGGAAATGTTATTTTTGACAAGCTTATTACTAATCACCCTAATATGTTCTCTCTTAAACTGAAGGTGCCAATTTTGTCTAGCGACCACTGTCTCCCATGTCTCAGATCAAAATATTACTCTCGCTTAGCATACCTCGCTTTTACTCGAACAAAACAAATGAACATCGGAATACGGAACCTTTCAGCCGACAGAATCCTTCTCCTCAGAAAATCTATTGCTAGTATCACCTCATGGTTTCCCGTTCTGTTCTGGTGAACATTCTACAGGAACAGCTAGTGTGATTTTCAATCTATGCTGTACTATGGAAACAGTTTTCGTTCACACTGGCACAGTATGCTCTCCGTGGCTAAAAGCTCTTAGAAGACAAAAAGAACTAGCGTTCAAGATACATCAAACAACTTACAATGCAAATCAGAGCAGAGATCAAAAGACTGAATGCTTCATTCGCAAAGCAAGTTCTGGGAGCTGGAGATGGAAGACGGTTATGTTAAGGGGTCAGATGGCTTTACGGACAGAAGAAACAGACAACGAACAAAATTATGGACGTCGACAGCCTCAATGCAGCATTCATTTATCCTTCCAATGAGCTTCTGTCTCCGTACCCCACAGATCACCTATCTACCACAGACCCGATCACCCATGAGGAGGTCCATCATCTTAAAACTACGAAAACGACGAACGCAGTTGGCCCCGACGGCTTATCTTCGGCATTGCTCAAATAAGGCGCTAGCTCAGTCACAGAGATGTTTACGTCCCTAATAAACCAATCAATTGACACATGTTCGATTCCGGATTCCTGTAGACCGTTCACCATTGTTCCCATTCCTAAATCCTCTTCATCTAGCATTTTATCTAAACGCTTTCGTCCGATCGCCATAACCTCCTCTGGACTTAAACTTGCAGAGCGCGCTATTCTCACCCGCTTGCAATCTGGTATGGTTGTTTCCAATGACCCCCTCCAGTTTGCGTACAAGCCAAATAGATGCACTTTGGACGCCGTCTCTTTAATGATGCACTTTATTTGCAAATCTTTAGATAGCTCTCAAAAGTCGGTTCGTTGTTTTCCTTGACTACTCCTCGGCTTTTGATTCCGTTCCACTATCTCTTCTCCTGCAAAAGTCAAAGTTATTCGGTTGCCCCACCAACTTGTCATGGTTGAAAGATTATTTCACAGGAAGGACTCAAAGGACGAAAGTAAGCAGCACTGCTTCAAAACCGTTAGTGAATAACTCTGGAGTCCTTCAGGGTGCTGTGCTCTCCCTCTACATATTTTCGACTTTCGTCAGTGACTTACCCTCAATCCCATCAGCCAAGACCTTCAAGTATGCTGACGATGTGATCCTATGTCAAGCCATCTCAAACCAATCGGACAGAGAATCATTTTCCGACAATTTTTTGCAAGTTCAATCATTTTCGAACCAATCCGGTCTCCGGCTTAATACTTTTAAATGCTTTGAATGCATTTTTAGTCTTTCTCGATCCGAATACCCCCTGGATCCCTCAGTCATCAATTCCTTACCCATCACCAGAACACATACCACGAAGTACCTAGGAGTTACCATCGATAGCAATCTACGGTGGTCTTCTCATGTGCTGGCTTGTGTTGGTAGACTGAGTCACTTATTTTTTTAGAATACGCAAGCTACGATAATTTCGTGTCAGGTGTGAAACTGTGTTCCTGTGTTTATCAATGCATTTTTCGTGTCATGCTTTATTGTTTGCCCGTTATTTTCCCTGATGTACTTAGCAAGGACTTCATTGATCTACGTCGCGGTTTGCTGATTGTCAACCGTGTTTCCCTTATTCCTTTAAACACTCTGATCACTAAATTGTGTGATTTGCATATCACTTCATGTGAGATCTTCGCTCAAAAGATACTCAATGACCCCAGTCATCCACTCAATCTCGATTTATCTGCTTGCCATTCCCACTACTCAACCCGATCCAATTTTCGCTGCTTGCCCTCCCGCATAAACATTTATCGCAACCCAACGTTTCCCTATTTGGCTCGCATTCTCACTGACACGGTGAGGATACGTAACGAACTAATTTTAAACAAAGACGAACACCTATTTAAGTTTTATCATTGTTGTATATTATTTTCATTTTATTTTTTATCCCACTGTAACGGTGGACACATTTTTGACTGAAATCTCGCCTGCACAAGTCATCTATGATACAATAATACAAAACAAGAAACGTTTGCCACGCTGTGTACACTACTGTGACCGCAGTTAGTCAGACAGTTCTGAAAGTTTCTCCTTTGCTCAGGGAAATGATCACACAGACTAAATCTTATGATGAGTGGACTTTCCTATTAACTGCTTCCTGAGCCGAGAATTTTTTAAAAAAGAACCAGGGGACAATAGGCCAATATTCGAGACTTTGACTGCGTCGATGAGCAACTAGCGGAAATCCCATGCGGGGGAGGAGGAAAATACTGAACCTGCTAAGAAGAGACGAACAAAGTTTCCGCAGGACAATCATGTGCTGATCGTTTCATCCGTTTGGTGATAGCGTTTGGGGAACCATGGCAGTAGCATGTCCAAGATGAACTTCGGTCTTCACACATTATATGGTGCTTTGTTGGTCACGCTTCGGTTAGCCGAAGGCTTCGATTTCGAATCTCTATGACAGGAACTATTTGATTTGGGCATTATGGCAATATTGCGGTCACAAATGAATGATGGGCTGATTTGATTTTTACATGGGTGCATGGCTCATGATCTTTTTGACAGACAAATACAATACCGATGAGCATAGGTAGTTGGAGGAATGCTAAAAACATTGCTTTTCTTGTTTTGACATCAGGAAACCCAGTCGTATTAGGATGGCTATACGGACAACTGATATAACAGTGTATAATAGAATATGAATTTTACT